CAACCTTTATGGTAAGAAAGATGATATATTCATAACAATTCCAAAAAACTTTAAATGCCTAATGTGCCCCTTTAACTTTGAGATGACATTATACCAGAGATAGAAGTTGGGGTCAGGCATTGTCCAGAGAAAAAGGCAGGGATTTATTAGATATTTAGGAATGGAAACAGTGCCTTTATTCCTTCTAAAAACAGAGGCAGAACTTGTGAAAGCAAACACCAGGAATTAACCAATGCTAATCACAAGTTAGAAATTTCTTATCGACCTGAATTCTATGCTATTAACATACTACAATATTTTACATTAAAAAATACCCCTAAGGAAATATTGTTTCATATACTGCCTGGAAATGAGTTAACTTCCCACATCACAAATTAAACTCAAATAAATATATTGCATGGTTACTTAATTTCTGGTGTGCTTTAAATGAGTCTAGACACTACTCTACCTATGTCACAGGTTTGTTTCTCGCCAGACCTTTGCTCAGTTTCCCCAGCCTGAATCTTCTTCCTTGCTGACGCTGTGTAGAAAGTCCATTAACTTGCAATGGGTCCATCTTTCGTCTATCTCAATAAAGCTTCCCACAAAAGTCTTATTGTTGCTTCACAGGACCAATTTTTTAATACATATGTAGTATTTGATTATATTTAACTTAAAATATCATGTCACAATTTTTTTTTGTCATTGATTTCAAATTCAGCTACGTAACAGGAAAGTTTCACAGATAACACCAGACTCCTTTTAGAAATGGAAGAACGTTATCAATAAATCTTCAGTAACCATCGCAATGCTAATATAAAAGAGCAGTCACTAAATAAATGTGACATAATTTCATCAGATAACTAGGATTTCGTATTTCCAAAGATGCTTTTAAAAAATCTAGTCCATCTCTAGTTGACTTACACTTATAATCTCACTATACACATCCAAATTTTTTTCAATACTGGGTACTCATGAATGAGTATGCTTTACTAGGTCTCCATATTCATCTCAGCTATGCTTTTTTTTTTTTTTTTTACCTTTCTCTTTGGTTTATTATAGTTAGAAGAAAAATATGTCTTTTTCCTTTGTACCATCTGAATAAACTGTATCAAATTGAAGAAAAAATGAAAAATTTAAAAGTTCAAAGGCCAAATCATTTGAAAAAGGAATACTGTTCTTCAGTTGTGGTTCTTTTCTAAGTGCTATGTTTAGAAGTCCTGGGTCAGAGCCCTGATTACATCAGTGAAGTCAATAAAGTCCTTTTTACTTAAGTATATGAAGTATTTAGAAAAAAAAATAAAGGGAAACAAAACCACAAAATAATTCATGTTAGTAACTTCATACACAAATCCTAAAGACACTTGGAAGGCTGACTTCTATTTTATGTTACTTATACATTTTGGGGTTTCCAATGAGAATAAAAATGATTTATTAAGCATACATTTTGCTTAATCAGTACTTCAATTCAGAAAGTACTTGAATATTGAGAGACATTACTTTTTACATAAAGTTTCTCAATTTATAAAACATTTTCTATTGACAGATAAGGCACAGAAAAATCCAAGTGACATCTGCTAAGCTTTACTTAGGAAAACTTAAAGAAATCCTACGGGATAACATCACTCAATTTTTCCTGGAGTACCTCTGATGGAGATTTCCTAAAAAAAAAAATCTGGAAATAATTAGAAACTATTATAGTACCTAAAAAAGTTTACTTGAAAACTAAATCTGCTATTCATCAAAGAACATAATACACTCAGAATAATGTAATGGAAAAATAAGGTACACATACAGAATAACATAAAGCACCTCAACCAAATCTGATTGCAAAACATAAAAAAAGAAAAAAAAGGTTGACAGAAGAAAGTATCAGACCTGTGATACTCTGAAGAACTCTGTAGGAGACACTGCACTTAACTGATTAAGCAATGATTTTGTTAAAACAGTATATATTAATTATTTTACTAATTTTAATTTATTTCTGTTCATTTTACTTCCAAATGATAAGAAACCATTTTTTTAAAAAAGATACTAAGTACAAGTTTAATACAAATTTAAAGGGAAGAAGAATTAATAGTTAATTCTTAAAATTTACTCTTGTGTCATAAGATCTGCATGGAGAAGAAAAGTATCCAAAATACAGTAAAAAATATTTTGGGTATTTCTGGAGCAATAAATGCGATATAATGATAATGCTAATAGCTTCTTAAAACTTAAAATATGTTCTCTACAGAGACCTGAAATTCCACTGGGGGGTAGACTGGATGGCATGTCCCTTGGAGTTTAAAAGACTGTCCATATGAACTGAATTATCCTTGACAAGTACCTTCAGACACTTGTAATATGATCTCATGTAAATTTAGACCATATTTTGCACACAAACCAGTGGCAATAGTAAGTTTATTCAGGAGCTCAGATAAGAAGGAAAGAAAAACTGATATCCTTAATAATAGTCATTAACATGAAATTTCCGAAATGAAAAGCATAAAAATAAAAGCATCTAATGTATTGTAGCAAATGAAAGAAAAACAAATATTAAGAGAAATGTTGCATTTTTTTTTCCTTTTTCAACCCCTAGCTACCTAGTCTCCCCAAACAAAATTTCATCCTTCAATAGTTTATTTAAATTTGGAAAAAGAAAAACACATTTTAAGCAAATAAATAAACTGGAAAATTCCATTTACATTGGAATTCTAATAACATAATATAATCAAAATATTATAATAAATCATAATAACATAGAGCTATAAATATTTACAAAAAGCTGACTGTACGATAAAACAAAAGGACAACTCAGAACTCTGTAGCTTTAAGGATTCCTCAGGATTGCCTTGTGCCTTGGCACAGACAGCCCTACAAACTTTGCTAATTCTCCCGGGATCAGCTCCATTGTCCAAGAGATGCATTAAGGCCTGTATAAGAGAACCCAGCTTTGGAGAGTGCTAGGCCAAGCAAGCTCCATAGCATCATTAACTGTATTTATTTTTCTTTATCAGAAGTCTGCTACTGCTACAGTTGTCCTGCTAATGGATGAAAATAGGATATAGATCATCTTGACTTTGAGTGGTAGAGAAAAATGACAGATTATTTTAAGAAATTTTAAAGGCGTGTGTATTTTTTTGTGGGTCCTTAAAACCAAGATTTTATACATCCATGGAATAATTAATGATTGTCAAAGATGGTTTTATAAGCTAATTTCACAGTAGAATAATAAATTCCTCCCACTTGAACTGTATTAAAGAAAGATTATTACTCAGTTATTTCTTTAAAAATATTTTGTGGAAAGCAACACTTCAGTTTAACAAAATAGCAAAACAACTGGAACTATTTTTTACAAACGTACATTTTGTAGTCACTTAAATGAGGTATATTTAATCAATTAACCACTATATAACCACTGTATATTTAAATACACTCTGAATTATTTAAAAAATTCAACTTAAAAATCAAACCGAGAGACATGTTTATAATATTGCTTTGCCGAAACACTGAAAGAAAGTGCACTGCATAGAGTGCTGAAATTTCTCACTCTTCCTTTCAATCAATATCTGAGGCAAAGTTTCATCTCTAGGGCCCTTAATGGCAGGAATTCCTGGAGCCAGCAAATGAGTAATGTTAAACCTATGATTAGATGATGAGGCCATCAAAGACACTAGACCCTAATGCTACATTCTTCTTTATTTCTCAGAACTGCAGTAAAACCCTGAGCTAAAGAAGGAATTTTAAGCTACTTTTTTCTCTACAAAAGCTTTTTTTTTTTTTTTTTTAATAAATGTGCATCATCAAGAACCTAAAAGGCCTGAACAGATCTCTCAGAATGTCTCTTGAACTCAGGACTCTGGCATTAGGTAACAATTCTCAAACGCCCTGCAGATGAACTCCTGCCAGGGATGCTGTTTTCTTTAACTTCTTTCTTATTAATATTCTTCATATTCTTCCTGGCTGAAAAGGAGGGAATGGACCTAATGGTTTCCCTATGAATATATTCTTGAAGAAAGTAAGCCTGAAGACTGGAAATCAATAGGTAAGTTTTGGTTGTTTTGTGTTTACTAATATTTTAAAGGATCAATTGAAGCCATATTGTTTATTTGGGAGTTGGCTGCGGCTTTGGGCAGACCTCAAGGTCAGTAACTAGAAACAGTTTAGATGTATTTTTCTATTGAGGAAACTAGGAATAAATGTAATAACTACTTATTGTAAACATATATAACCTGTCTTTCTTGTTCTCACATTACAAAATATTTAGTACTTATATGAAAATCAGGATCATTAGGGGACTTGACAGAGCTGGCAAGAAGAAAGATCACTGGGTCCCTAATTTCAATTATCAGAAAAATGTTATATATATATTTTTAGTTTCTCGTAACTGCTAAGAAGAAAGAATACCCAACAACTACAAATTCTATTTAAATAATCTGATTATTAAAGATAAATAGCATAAGTAGATTTTTAAAATTTACACAAAAATATACAAATTACATTAAAAAAAGAAAGCAACAAGGTATTGTATCAAAGACCACTCACTAATGAGCTATATTTTATACTACGGCTATTGCATGAAAAAGACTTTGTTTTCATTATCTGTAATCTAAAGAAGAAAACATGTAATAATAAATGTCAGAAGTATAAATTCTACTGTACCATTTTTAAAAGGTGGAATGTAAAGAAGGGTATCAAAAGATCTTTAACAGATTTTATATATATATATATACATACCTACACATCTATATATATATGTTTTTTGCAAATAGGGGACAATAGAAGGATAGGAAGGTGGGCAAGAATAAGACAGCTAAAGAGAGAGGAAGAAGGGAGAGGGAGACTGAATCAATATTTACATGGTATGATCATCTACATAAAAATATATCTTAAATTATTTTCTTCATCGACGGGATAAGAAATGGAAGATTTAAAAATATATAAACATATACATATATATGCATCCTACTGCTAATGACATAAAAAAAAAAAAAACACCTCATGTAGTTTAATGTAATCCAGTGGAAGAGATTTCCTACCTGAGAACAAAGCAGCATAACAAGCTCAACCACAGATGTGCTAGACTTCATACAAACGAGGCCTGCAACAAAGAAAGGTTGAACAAAATGAAATTACCATGGTAGAAATCATCATTCCAAGTTAATTCATTATGTAATTTTAATTTACAAAAACTTTCTTTAAAATAGAACTCCTAAAATAAAACAAATGGAAACATTCACTAACATATTTTTTATGGCATTAATTTCAAAATACTCAGATATTCAAGAAGATGTAGAAAACATACTAAAAACTGACTTTATGCTGGGTTATTTATTTGGTCAAGGCATTTCTTATATTTAAATAAGGTGGAAGGTAGTTATCGGAATTGGTGAGCTTGTTAGAGCTACTTTTAATCCAATGACATTTCCTATGTGATTGTCTCCTGGAGTAAGGAGCAATAAAAGGTGAAGATTTTCCTAAATTTTTTGGGGCGCCTGGGTGGCTCAGTTGGCTAAGCGACTGCCTTCGGCTCAGGTCATGATCCTGGAGTCCCGGGATCGAGTCCCGCATCGGGCTCCCTGCTCGGCAGGGAGTCTGCTTCTCCCT